AAAAAAAACGGGATCCCTTTCGAAAATTCCAAATTAAAAGAGCCCTAAGCTTTAAAATTTTGTAACCACAATCCTAAAAATTGGACAATATGATTGTATCATTAGTTACCGTAATCCAATATTTCGAACCAGATAATAAAAATCAAACCTACCACATATAATAAACATGCATGCGAATTCTCAAAATTTTATTACTATCATTTTGACTTACCACATGAATAAATCTATATATATATAATTACTAGCTAATAGCATTTAATAAAACCTATTTAATTTTACCTATGTGGCAATTTAACCATTTTCCCTCAAAAAACCGTTACTTTTGAAGAATTTAATCTTTCATTTAATTATTAATTAATCAACACTAATCACTTTAAAATTACAAAAATCATTTTAAACTTTTGATTACTGACAGTTGACCATATAATGTGTTGACCGTATACTGTGATGAGATGTTATTATTGTGGTTACATTAAATTAATTTTTTTAAAATAAAAAAATGTATTTGAAATTCCTAAATAAATAATAACTAATTCAAAAAAAAAAAAGATGTACCAAAATATACATTACATCCAATTAGATAAATGCAATTTAAAAAAAAAAATATTCCAACTCCTTTAATTGTAAATTTGGCCAGCAAAAAGGTGAAAGAGAAATAATTAATCATTATATGCATACAAATCACTCACAATACTTTATTTACATTTGTGCAAGTGCACAGGGTCGAATAATAGTTCAAATATAAATAAGACTAATTACTCCATGATCTTCACATATTCACAAAAAAAAAAAACACATCTTTCTCACATGTCTAATTTCCATGGCATAACCAAAATCCTCTTAATATATTCCATTTTGTGTGCATATTTGTTTCACAAAGGGGACAACTGTTTTTTACTTCACAAATACGAGGTTCACATTTACAGCGATCTCCCGGGAGATTCTCCGGTGCTTTTGGTGCACTGCGCCTCGAAAGACGACGACCTCGGGAGCCATACGCTGATGTGGCATCAAGATTTTTCGTTTTCTTTTTGTAGTATACCTTTGACAACATTGTTTCATTGTGAGCTCCATTGGGGCAGTAAAAGTAAATCTTTCAAAGCTTATGATGCAAAATGGCATGGAAATCCTTGTTATGGGCCTAAGTGCAAATGGTCAGCACATACTGACGGTGTTTACTTGATGGGAATTAAGAAGTATGATTGGGAATAAAAAGGGGCCCCCAATGTTATGTATAATGTTTTGGACCATATTTTTATTAGCATTCAATTGCATGTTTCTCTAGTTTCTAAAATGTGTTTTTTAATCACTGTCAATTTTTAAGGATAGTAAAATGGCAAAATTGTATATTAATACACCATATTCATGTTTTGCAATTTAATAACCACATTCGAAATCTTACAAATTAATACACTACATTTACCGTTTTTGCAAATCGATACATGAATAACGGTTCCTGTAAGATTAGAGAATCGGGGCAAAAGGGTGCAGTCCCACGCAGATGAAGTGTGCCATAAGAGGGTGAGACTAGGTGCACCTTGGTGAGATTTCATCCTAAAACTAATTGGTGTTGGAAGGAATAACCCACTAGGCTTACAAACTAGGCTCAATATTTACCCTATAGAATCAATGTGAGACAACTCACAAGTGATATTCCAACACGCCCCCTCACTTGCGAGTCCTTTGTAACCTCAAGCCCACAGAGCAGGTCAAGTAGAGAGATAAGCCCAAGTGCAGAGCAGGCCGGGTAGAGAGAGTTATTGCGGGTCCTAGGATAGGTCCGCTTTTACCATGTAAGATTAAAGAATCGGAACAAGAGGGTGCGGTCCCACGCAGATGAAGCGCACCATAAGAAGGTGAGCCTAGGTGTACCTTAGTGAAATTTCATCCCAAAACCAATTGGTGATGGAAAGAGTAGCTCACTAGGTTTATAAACTAGGGCCATTTGTCCTATAGAATCAATATGAGACAACTCACAAGTGATATTCCAACAGTTCCGTTAACAAAAATGTAACAAAAATCTGACATGACTTTAAACCACGTCAATGCCATGTCAGATTTTTGTTAACGGAATTGTCATTCATTTATCGATTTAAAAAATGGTAAATGTGGTGTATTAAATTTACAACGTTTCAAAGGTGGTGATTAAGTTGCAAAAACAGAAAGATGGTATATTAAT